CTTCTCAAATGTCTCGACCTCACCTTTCAGTGCTTGCAAATTCGTTCTGTTTATCATCAAACCCACACTCTCCAAACTTTCAACTCACTTCAAGTACATCAGACTGACCTCACTGACATTACCTCTATTATATCAAAAGCAATATGCTTTGAAAATATCTGAGCACACCATGCTATATCCAATTGATTTTATTTAACAAGCACACCTTACATCAAAGGAGTCTCTGCACACACATCAACAGCAAGTTACTGAATAGTTCTTGCATGCCTGTGAAAAAATATACAAAATGAGTAAAAAGGATTAAAACCATGTTAATGAATTTCTTAACTGCAATATGATTTATGACACTGTAAGACACTCTGACACAATCTAGCAAGGACCAAGTTTAATTAGTTCCTGCCATGCCTAAATTGCAAGACAGACAGTTAAGTACTCTGTTTCAATTCTATATTTCCTATTCACAGCTGATATTACCATTCCATCAATTTTAGCCTTCTTGAAAGGGCAGTGTGTTTGGAGCTGTGATGTGATACTGTATATATACTTGTGAACACAAAAAGCATTTCATGGTAAATGCAATGTTTTAATATTTATCTGATGCTTCACAGTACTTTGCTTTTCTATCTTAACCTAATAGTACTTGAACAGAGAAACAGCTGAAAGAGATTGTACTCTGAAGTGTTCTACCTAGGCTAATGCTCCCTTCTATTCTTTACTGTATGGCAGCAGATGCAGAATAAATAAAGGCACTAGAACAGTAAGGCTGAGGAAGCAGATGCAATCTGTGTGGGCCTTAAGATGTTGAGTCAGGTAAGTATTCAAACAATGCAGTTATCCAAAAAGTTCATGTTTTACCTCACCTGATGCTACGAAGTGAGTTATTTGGCTGACATGGAAGGTAGGCTTACAGTGATAAGCACCAATCACACATAGGAAGCACTGCATACGCATCAGGTTAGGATCAACGGAACATGGGTAACAAGGGGCAAAATGCAAGGTGTTTTCGCATTGGGATAATCAAAGCGGGAATACAATGCCCGTTCTTTACTGGGTCCAACAGACAGTACTCAGCATCCATAATACTTTATATAGATCAATAATAACAAGGTGTGCCCCTACCTTGTCAATGTTCATGAAAGTGTATGTCTTGGGCCGAAAAGGCACGACTATTCCTCTCTCACTGTGTCAGGTGTTTGGTCAGCTGCTCTGCCAGGACCAGAGGGGTGAAGCTATGTGTTCCCTTGATATCCTCCATTAAGATATTGCAGAGATTGACCAGCAGAGACAGTTGTTGATCTCTACAAGCAACCATGCATGATGGCTCATACCCGTGAAAATCTGGGTTAGAACTGATCTTCAGTAACTCATGCTTGTCGTAAGAGGTGACTAACAGGATCAGGTGGTCAGACTTGCTGACTTGGTTGACACATGTCATCATATACCAATTGTGTAGTTTGATGCTCATGCTGCTGATCACTGGATTGTCTGGTCCAGACTCAATTATTTACAAACCGCCGCCATATGGCTGGGATATTGCTGAGAGCGGCGTAAAACTAAACTGACTCATTCACACTTGCATGATGGTTCAGACAGAGATTTTAACATGGAGGATCATTGATGAATGGAGGTGGCAGACCAACCCAATGATTAGCTCACCAAGCAAAGTCAAAGTGACATGGTATTGTTAATCACTTTGCAGTGACATGGTCAGAGATTTATGACAAGATAAGCAAAAAACATGAAAATAATGTCAGTTGGTTCAATGTCTAAACTGTGCAACTGGGCGAGCAATGAGCCTAGGCAACAGCACCTGCAGATTGTGAAACTGACCATCTCCCTTCCTGCTGGGTCTGGAACTGGAGAAACATACCAGCAGTGAGGTGTCGAGCTGGCCTTGAAGCTGGTTAACGAGATACTGCTAAAAAAACTTGATGAGGTCAACCACCACTCTAGTTTCCACTGGAAGTACTGGGCCTTTCTTGAGGACAAGAAAAGCCAGGGAGCCCAGGATGATGCTGTGGAAATCAATGACCAGGCACGTAGCAAGCCAATGTTTCATGTAAGCCCAATTGGTTGCACAGCTCTATATTTAGATAGTATTGAGGGCTTGCCCAACTTTCACAGCAAAAATCATGTATAAGCACGGTCTTTTGTTCATAATGGTACCTACCCCTGATGACTTCGAAGGCATGGCAAAAGAATGTCTGTACTGGCACAAAGTGTGATAACAATGCTGCAATGGCTGTTTGTTGATTGGAGGAGTAGAGTGGAGGTGAAGTCGGAAAACCCTTTTCAGGATCTTGGTAAAAAACTACAGTCCGTTTGGCTCAAAAGCGGACCGATGAATTGCAATCTAACTCGAAAACTAATAAACATAACATACTCAATGAAACGCTGATCATAATCAAAACATCATACTCACTTTGTGAGGTTTTTGCAGAATTTTTGTCCTAAAAATAATAAAGTTGTTTAACAAACTAGCATTAAAATATTGACACAGTTCACTGTTTGTTAATGAGGGAGGAGTGCAGAGAAAGGGACAGCCAGGTGTTTGAGAACCACGTTCACAGACAAAGTTATTTATTCATTAACCTGTGCTGTGCCGTCTCCATCCGTTCTCTAACACCTGGCTGTCCCTTTCTCTGCACTCCTCCCTCGTAACAAATAGTGAACTGTGTCAATATTTTAATGATAGATTGTTAAACAACTTTTTTATTTTTAAGACAAAAATTCTGCAAAAACCTCACAGAGTGAGTATGATGTTTTGATTATGATCAGCGTTTCATTGAGCATTTTATGTTTATTAGTTTTCGAGTTAGATTGCAATTCATCGGTCTGCTTTTGAGCCAAACGGATTATAGTACCCTAACATCTGCCAAATCCTCCAACATATATAAAGAAGTCTCCCTCTTAAAGGCAAGGTACTGGCTGGGACAACCAGTGGAGGAAAGTGCCAGGTTTATGATGTCTGTAGAGAATCTGTTGGGATCCCATGACAACTGATTCAGCAAAGATGTCAGACACGCAGCACTGATCTAGCTGAGGCAATATTGCAAGTAATCTGGGCCCTGTTTCTCAAAGCGATCATAGTGCTAAGATGATCGTAACTCCCATACTTTAACAGACTTACGACTGTCGTAGCGCTACGATCGCTTTGAGGAACAGGGCCCTGAACAACCTAATGCTGTTGTCAGTCCAGCACTGATAGGAACTGTTTGCTAACAGTGGACAGATTCACATCACCATCGTTGGGGACTGTCTGTGATGAACATTATATGGATGTCCTTTCTATGAACCACACATCTTCATCAATAGGCGGTGTTGTGTCTGTGAAGTTCAATGAGTGAAAGGGATGAGTGTACTTGTGAAATGGAAGAGAAGACATGAACGGAGATTGAGTGTTGGACATCATACTCTGTTGTGCAAGTTCCTTTTCCCGCTTAATGAACACCTTTCTGTTAGATTAAAAGCCACAGTGAATAATTCAGCACAAACTGTGCAGCAATTATCAAATATACATAACCGGTCTTTGTCTGACTTGGTTCTATTGCACAAAAGATATCGCTTAGACTATATTTTGTAGCAAAGATAAACCATGTATAGGGATAGCAGAAGAGAGAAGACTAATATTCAGTATGAAATGCGATGAACCCAAGGACAATATCAGTGTGTCAGTGCCACACAGGATACCAAAAACACCTACAGCAAATAATCGAGCTAACGGAAATTAATCACAGAAAAGCAACTGATTCACTGACAATTCTAAAATCTATGTTGAAAAAAAGGTCATGGGAAAGACACCTTGTACCAAGGTAAGTCAAAAGCAAAATGGCCACCATGGCATAAACATATACAAAATTGTGAGGTTGTCATAAACATATTTTTACAGAAAAAGACATAGCAAAACATATCAGAAATATAGCACGAAAAAGTACCTCCAGAGGAAGCAAACTCACTGTCAGGGGTTCAAACAACCAAGGAGTGTTCTGGGACATGTCTACTGTATAGCCATACAGAGAAGAACATGATGGAGCAAGGGACCAAGGTAGATAACTCTGGGATATTTGGGCATTTCAGTCTTTCCAGATGTCTCTCAGTTTCTGTCTGTGTGGTTAAAGTAAGGAAGTGGGGCATCATTTAACATGAATTATACTAAACAACAATAATGCAAAATTTAATGGATGAAAAAGTTATAATAAAACAATATGATATGAAAACCTATTTTATCATTTATTACAATATGGCTATCCGCATTGAAACATAGTATGAAACCAAAGATGACTAGATTACATGGAATAATCTCTCAGAACAGATCTTTGTTCTTCGACAATTCACAAAGCTGGTTGTCTCTAAGCCCCAGGGAAGTCAACATTTTGCAGGTCCTGTAAATATTTAATTCCTTAAGTTTAGAAACTACCAACAGACATATGTTTCATGGCAATAGGTTCCTTATATAGTCAAAAGTGATGTAGGAACAGACACATAGTTCATGTCCAAATATTGTGAAGATGGAATAAAGCTATTTCTTAACACTAAACGTGTCTCAAGTAAATCATATACAGTCAAATCCTGATGAGTTGAATGCTGGTGTCTCGAATATTATGCATAACTCGAAGTACCTGTCGGTCCCGACCATTCCCTGTTATAGTTGTCATCATTTGAATACCGTTTACACAAATTCGACTCATAAATACACATGATGACTCGAGAAGAAAATTTGGTCCCATGAGATTCAAACAACAGCAATCTTGTATACATAAGCCGAAGTCAGCCAATGAGAAGTTGATTGGTGTAGCAAACTGATCCAATTAACAAACCAGCTCGTCTCACACCTTTCCGCCTTTGATGGGTGAGTTCAAAAGGCAGATTAGTGATTTTACGGAAATCACTGTCTGTGCTAATCAGACTGGAACTGATAAGGTGCCCCTATTAGTGATAGGGAAATCATTAGATAAACAAATGCTTAGGCGGAGGAATTAGGACTGCATCATCTCTTTTTCTACCCTTATAGACATACCTATGTCTCGAATACATCGATAAGTCGAATTTATTACTTGGTCCCCAGAGATTCGACTCATCGGGATTTGACTGTATTTACATACTTGCAATCCTCACATATATGTATGATCACAGGACCTAATTCTACAACCACACAAAACACTGTGAATGTAACTTGAAAGATGACTGCATATGATACGGCCAGTACTGCTGTGTGAGCAGTCAGTCCAGAACTATCTGTGCTGGCTTCCCATCGTCAAGCTTCCGATCCATCCCATGTGTCAGATCATACTGACGTCGCAAGAAGGCAAACAACAAATCGGTCACCAAAAATATCTGTTGAAAACAAACAAAACAAATTAAGGGAAAAAGATCATATTCAAATGAGATGCATCATCTTTAAAGTATGCTAATGTGATTGACTCAGCTAAATCAGCATAATATTCACCATTCACACTTGAATAAATAAATTGTCAATATGTATTATATTCTGTTTCAAAAGGAGGTGGCGATAGGTTCTTTTTGGATCTGATTACATACAACTTCATGGTTTGGGGCAGAACTGAAGTGATATCTATTCCATGGAGTTCTGTTTGTTTTCAAGCTCATATTGTATCTGTTTAACAGGGTACAAGACATGGCAACCTGCATAGATATTATCTGAAGAACAGAAATGAATCAGATAGCAGGAAGATAAAAGAAATAAGAAGAGACTTTTATGTCAACTTCTTTATTATGAGGAACACAACATTTCAGAGTATATACTTACTCCTCCATCCAGTGAATTCACCTAATGAGAAGTTACTATATACTCTGAAAATTTGTTTCCTCAAAATAAAGACGTTGATATCCATAAAACTCTATATCTTATGTGTATCACTTCTAAATGCAAATCAAAGGCCCCAAAAAGAAATAGTCTGACATGAGTGAGTTGGGTTTTTTGCTGCTTTCAGCAATATCCCAGCAATATCACGGCGAGGGACCAGAAATAGGCTTCACACATTGTACCCATGTGGGGAATCGAACCGGGCCTTCAGCATGTTGAGCAAACGTGTTAACCACTAGGCTACCCCACCGCCCCTTAGTCTAACATGAAAAATAAATTGATACTTTTAAAAACAAATTTAGGTTCATAGTGTTAATAAAAAAGATATCTATTTAGCTGGCTCTAAAAATATCTGTCTCAATATTAAATCTCATCCCACCACAAAGTCCAAAGTTAATCTCATGAAAGTATAACTTCAACCTGGATTTTATTACGCATATGTCTGATATTTCCGTTATTTTGGGTTGACTTAAATGAACAATCATGCCCGATTAAATTCTCAAACTAAAAACAACAAGCTCTGCACAGCAAAGCTGACAACACAACCATTGTGCACACTGGCTTCAGTCATCTTCTTATATTAGAAGCAAACTGAAAAAAATATTTGCTTGGTTTCCATTTTGCCAGCTTGACTAGAAGCTGTTTATCAAAGCCTATACACACAACATAACTTAGGCTGCAGGAAGCCAATCAATATTGTACCATGTGGCCAGCCTTATGCCTAGATCATCACATCTTACAAAACAGTAAGAAATGAAAAGCCGGGTAGCAGGACATGAACATTGGTCCAGCTCACTATAAATTACCACAGAGATGCAGATTTGTTCCATCATTTGTCTATTACTTGAAGGCTGCACATAATAACAACACAAAAGAATGAATGCCTGCTCTATAAGGTAACATTTACAGAAAAAAACATGGGCCTACCTCAGCTGTGGAGAATGTGAGAGTAATAGCAAAGTAGAAGTTGGCATTGGCACTACCAGCATAAATCCAGAGATGCCACAATATTGGCGCCACCACAGAGCAAGACAGGAACATGCATCCCACAACAAACTTGTTCCTCATATCTGAAACAAAAATATCAAACCAGACATGACAATCATTTCCAAAATGGTATCATAGTGATACCCTGCTGTAAATAATGTTTTTAAAGGACAAGTTTATAGAAAATTAACCTTTTTGTCTTGCACTTTTTCAACATAAAAAGTGTTTGTCAAGTAGTTTTATGGCCAAAACAGTACATATATCAGAAGTAACTAATTTATTTTTGCGTTATATCGATTCAAATTTTCCTCATTAACCGAGAGTTCTATGTCCACAATAAACACACCATGGCTTATGTCCCTTGATAATGACGTCATTGGTGCCAAACCGACAAACAAATGACGTTGTTAGACCCATTTCACGTGGTGCAGGTATAGGTGTGGTTCTTGTGTCTCGACACGCAGGCTAACTGTTTTAATCCAGCTGTTGCCTGGCCGTCAGCTGGCTATGTGGTCAGTTCCACACTGTGATGATGTTAGTTTGAAAAAACGTATACATTGTACAAACAGTGTAACCACATAACCAAATTGTACAACATTCAACCAGAGTCTGTCGCCTTTCAAACCGTATCGTTTTTCACACAATATAAAACGTTTATACTCTACATCTAGCTTGCCATCGGTGAATGTGTCGGCATTCAATGTTTGTTACTTGATTCCTACATAAATCGTACAATATATGTCCCACCTCTTCCACTCTTCCCACCTACCGATACCATATCCAAATACATCACGAGGATAAATACAATTGGCAGTTTTTAATCCTGTTTGAAATTAACTCACGCACCCCGACAATGGAAGTTCTCCTCATTTCTGACTATTTCCCATAGTCACAATGAAAACAAAAAAACAATAACAACCGGCAGATTGTCATTCTAATGTTTCGGACTACTTACATGTCACATTTATGTATATACGTTGCTTGAAACGAAATTTTCTGTCGAAAAATCTGGGGAACTCGTGTCAGTGAACACGCCATTTTGAAAGTGTCACTTCCCGATAGTGATGTCATATGTACATCAACATTGTTACACATATTTGGTATTTTCATTGACGTGAGGTTATGAATGAAAACACACGACACTCAATCTCTCCTGCTGCTTACATTTTCAGTTCTTATGCCTCTTTCGTATTTTCACAAACTTTTCTCACGTGATTAATTTCAGTATTATTATCTTTTGATTTGGGACAAGACAGGAGACCAGTCTAAAATCAACTGGCACCAATTACGTCATAATCAAAGGGCGGTAACTCTGGCCTGTTTAGCTTGGCAAACAAGGGCTGCATAATGGCTTAACATTTCAGCACTTATTTTGAGGGTTATTCTTTCGTTGTAAGAAAAATGAGTGTATAATTTCAAACATTGATATTAAACAATTAAACTATTTCACTTTGTTTCACATAAGAATATATGTGATTTTATTGTGTACACTTCACGTTTAAGGCTGATGTCAAGCATAAAATCAAAAGGATAGCATTACCCAGCAGGGATAGAAATGCAATTTTTTTTAGGGTGCCCTTGGACAGCAGACAGATAATTTAGGTGTACCTTTTGTGCCCATACCTTTTGATGATCCAATTTAACTTGAGCCATCACTACAACTATGTCATTTCAATTTATTTTTTAATAAATCAGCAAACATCATGTACACCTGTAAAATTTCCTAAACACTATCAAGACTAAAAGAATAGTTCAGCTTTTTCCTCGACCCATAAACCAACTCACAAACATTTTTATCAAACAGCCATACCCATGTTAAGCTGTGCGGTTGAAAGTGCCACCAACAAACAGTTTGATCAGGTGTAAACATAGGTGCTGAATCATTTCAGTTGGTCAAATTTGTTACATTTTCCATTATTGAATTATTAACATTAAATGAATCATGTTGTGTATTATTTTAATAATTTTAGTCGTTGTTGCCAGGGCACATTGAAAAATTCCTATCCCAGCCATTTCAATATTTAAAGTGCCATGGCACACAAATTAAGCACTATTTCGATCGCTACACAAAGTACAGATTTGTCACTGTAATATGAACTGGCATAGCATAGCTCCTACAATTCACTATGCTGACTTCCATTCTGCCTAAAGATCTGAACATAATAACATGGTGTTCTAAAATAGAGGCATGACATTGTAACTGGTATGTAGTCAAAAACATAAAAAAAAGTTTTAGTTTACTTTATATATCAGAGACAGCTCATGAACAAAAGTTGCTTGGTTGACCATGTGAGACCCAGCTGAGGTCATTCTCTCATCTTGGAGCCAGAGCCAAGCTTGTAACCTGTGTAGTGGGGTTCTTTGGGCGGGAGTAGATTGTGTGATATAGGATAAAAATTATAAATATACAATTTATAGTTAAGATTGTCCTTTTTCACTTTATACACTTATCCCAAAGTAGGATGATGGGTGCAGTTTATCCAAGTCCTCAGGTAGGCTGACAACTGTAAGATACTTTACTCACAAGGAGACTGACCTGGTATTCTGATTGAAGATCAGATCCTAGGTAGGCATGAACCTTTGAAGGGTTGCTTCAGAAAAAACCCTTAGGGATACTTTACATGATCCTCCCAAAGACTGGCATTCATGATCTTCTTGATTTCACGCTGAATCATTGCCAAAGAAAAATGAGGAAGCTTAGAGACTGGGAACCTGCTCTGCCTCAATTTCACACACAGCTCCCTTTCAGTCCCAGGCCTAGACAGTGAGTTATTCAAACTGTCCCACGCAGACTACACATAAAGGTGAAAGGTTAATGGTTTGGTAATCTCTCCTTGATTCACTGAGCCTTTCCTGCCAATGACTGCTTCATTTTTTTCCCCTTATAATATAATTGTGGCCATCAATAGTCAAAGAACACATGAGAGGAACATTTTGAAATCCCCATCAGAAACTCATGCTAACCTGATTACTTGTGGGAGGAGGTTAGAGACCATATGGATCACCTTTGTATCCTCATATGTGGCTTGAAATAATGCCACAACACAGCCTTGTGATAAAGCCCTTGTAGTACACTGATGAAGCTTGATTACTAACAAGCCCATAGTACAGAATAAAAGTCAATCAAAGATCTCAAAGATATCTTCGTCCATCTGTCAGGAGGGATGAACATCTTGTCCAGTCAAGTGTCAAACACTGCCCTGATGAATTGAAGCCGTTGAGTTTCTTGATGTTGACTATCAGTCCCAGTTGATGTAACAACTGAGTGGCGTCCTCGTACTTTAACTATAATTGTTCAGGGCGAAAGTGTGCTTTATTACACTAAACATGCTGGTAGAGCGAACTGTATTTCCTAAGTATACAGTTTTGGGGCAGATATTTAACCAGGGGTACATTGTCCAAGAAATTGAAGATCTGCACAGTTCATGGCTCACAATGACCAACAACTTTCATTGTGGGTCAGAAAGAATGATCAATGTTCTTCAGAAGAACTTACAAACATATTCAATGCTTGCAAAGACCAAACTTTCTCAAAGCAGACTGTTGAAGGATTCCTAAGCAGTCTGTATGGAAAGCTATCAGAATTTGTGAGATCAGTCAGAGAAACTGAGTGGCATGATGCAGATGAAAAACAACAAACAAGAAGACATAGTCATCAATATCCCCTGCCACAGTGTTCTGTTCCTATTCTGAAAACTATTCAATCTTTCTACAAATAGTGATACATAAGCTGTTAAATGAGAAAATCTGTTTGGGGATAACATGCATGAAGTCAAGAAATGCATGAAAAGGGCCATAACACTGCATTTGGTTTCCCTGTTTATAACATTTTGGGGAAATTCTGTCCCCATCATCTCGGACGAATGGACGGAGCTCAAACCTATATCCCCCCTCCCATTCAACCAGCTGTTGTCTTTGGTGGAGTTATTGTCATGGTGTGGGGTTGTGTCTCTCATGACTATAAACATGACTGGAGGTGCTTAATAATGTGTGTATTATTATCAGACATGATCATAGCAGACTCCACTTTCCCTGACTGCCTGTGCAATAACAAATGCCTTGTTGTAATGTTTCCTATGATTTAAACACAACATTATAGTGTAAGCAAAAGTGAGAAATGTGTGCACAAACCAAAAATAAACCTGTAGTACTAGAAACGATAGAATCAGAGGTATAATACACTTTGGTATTGTGATAAGGAGCTACACAACTCAGTAGGAAACCCAATTTTGTACTCAAGTGTCTTTCAATGTGTACAATATTTAAGTCACGATGCTTGTATTATTCATGGAACTACCAACTATTTAACTAACTACTAAGCAATGAGTACAATGTACAGAATGCTAATTTAAGGCTGACAACCTTTAATGCAAAGTTTCCATGCATTACCCTCCTTAACTTCTTGTGCAACCAGACCCAGAGATGCCAACCCTTATTTAGCCCAATTAGTATTTTGGCCAAAAACTGATGCAAAAATTAGTATTTTATGACCCAAATTAGTATTAACTTTTCCAAAGAATTTTCATATTAAATAAAAAACGTAAATATATAGTCTAAGGCCTTGTTATTAACATTGTCCTCATCTAAATCTGTAGTAAGTATCCACATATAGCTTGATACTGAATAAAATGGGGTTGAAATTTTTTGTGTATGGTACGTATGCTAATTGATAATTTAATTTAATGTATTATTTTAAAAATTCGTATATTTTTACTGCCGTCGTAGTAGCGTATTTTGTGTTGTTTTTTATAATGAATACGATAAAATTGTATGGGGTGGCATCTCTGCAGACCTGTGATGGTGTCAACATGGCAACTGTTACATGACACTTTCACTCACATGAGAAGCAGTGTTGCCACAGTGGCAGCAGAGACAAGAAGAGTGCTGCATCAGCGTAACTCGGGTAGGATTTGAAGATGCTGGTCAGGAATATCAACATGTACAGCTGGAACACTGGACTGTCCCTGAAAGTAAAATAACATCCAAATCACAAGAAAAATACAATATCCTGAATCCTAGGGTACACAAATGACAAATATTTAGTGAATACATTTGCATATGTTACAGTCAATACCTATATGATCAGGCAATATGTGCGTCCTGACTGAAAATAACAGTCAATGTGTATATTAACTGATGATTAACTGTTGAAAGAAACAAATTTGGCTCCTTACTATGATCAAAGTAACGTAAGAAAGTAAAAATGTTTAAACAATGAATTGATTGGAACTTCAAACATAATGAGTCCATTTTGTATGTCATTGGTTTTAGCTGAAATGCCATGCAGTTCAGTTAAAGGTCACATGCAACCAAAAAACAAACATAATTAAAACACAATTATCACTTATTCATGTAATATACATTGCTGATTATGAAAAAACAAATAAACAAAATTATAAGCGTACAATCATAAATCAAAAGTGCAATATTTTGTTCTTGGGTTTACTTCCCTCGAAACGAGGCACCCGGGAGACTGAACCCAGTCAGAGCGGGTGGGTGTGCACTCAAGTGTAACAAAGACTTTCATTGACTGTTTCATTTGCCAATGCGCTGAGGGCTCATTATGTGAGGTGAGGTGAGGTGAAATTGGGTTTAACATCGTACTTGAGAATATTTCGCTCATATGACGACGTGCATGCGTGTGTATGTGTATGTGCGGCTGCTTGTACTAGCCCAGACTTAAGCTGGCTTTATAGTGCTAGCCCACTGAGATACCATGCCGCAGTGAAGCATGAATACCCCACTCAGACACATTTAACTGACTCCGAGCCGACCACTCCTTGTAGTACCCATTAATGCCGAGCGCCAGGCAGGGACCAACAAGTACCATATTTGAAAATCTTTTGGTATGGCGCGGTTGGGGATCGAACCCGCGACCTTCCGCTCTCTGGGCGGATGCTCTAACCACTACACCATGGAAGCGGTCTCTCATTATGTGTGTGTATGTAGAGATGTTGGGTTTTGTAAATACATGCTCATTTTGTCTGCATTTGCGTTTGATCCAATCAACAAATACTGAGATGGTGAACTACTGTGTGGCTGGAAACTGTTGTTCGTTCAAGTACAAAGCAGGACTTGAAAATGACAATCTGAGTTTGCACCTGTTTCCGTCCGATCCAGTCATCCGAGAAAAATGGATGCTGTTTGTTTGCAAGCCACAGACATTATAACATGTCATGTGTACAAGTATCACACCTGCCTGTCTGTGTAATTACATAATGTGACAGAGACAGAACTCTGAGCCATAAATCAATGTATTTTGTTTATGGTGTATAGCCTGATTCGTTTAGAGTTCAAATTGCATGTGGTCAGTGATTGAAGTTGTGTATTGCATATTGTCATTAGCAGACAGGCAGGCAGACACATAGGTGTCAATAAAACAGACATTGAATTTTGCCTGTAACAGAGACTGCTTATCACAATCAACATATTTTTCTGTTTCCATAAAGACATGTGTCAAGAGTTATCTCCCTTGCTCACAAAATCACATTCAACTTGGACCTAATCAGTGGGAATAGTGAGAAGGCTTCAAATAAAATAATTAAACAACACTTAGCCAAAATTGATGATGAATTATGGTTTAAAGAACTATGGACTGATAAGAATCTTACAAATGGTAATAAACTGCGGACATATCGTACATTTAAGAAAGATAGAATACCAGAGGTATATCTTTGTTGTCCAATGCCAAGATATAAAAGAAAAGTGCCAGCTAAATTTCGATGCGGGACTCTACCTCTCTCCATAGAAACAGGACACTATAACAGACCTGTAACCCCACTCAACGAACGCCTCTGTAAGTTCTGTGATGTGATTGAGGATGAAACACATTTTCTGATAGACTGTCCTACTTATGACGATATCAGATACAAACTTTTGAAAGATGCTGCGGTAATGTCATACTTTACAAACCTCACTTCATCTGAAAAACTAATCTACTTAATGCAATTACCGTATACTACCGTCTATAAGCCAAATTTTGAGGACCAAAAAAAGCAGTCTGTGTGCATGGGTTACGCTATCGTCAAACTTTTTTCCAGGGGTAACAAAACAACATCGTATCACTGTGATATTCACAAAAAGCTAGGAAATGCCCTATTTGCTATGTTTGCCAGAAGATGTAACCTTACAAATTAATTCCCAATCTACTACTTTAATTGTATCTGGTTTTAAATTGTTTTTTTAAACTATCTTGTGTACATGTGTAATTTTAATTATTCTTATGGTTTTGTAACATTCTATGTAAATATGTCGATTTGTACGAGTGAATGATACATGATGAAGTTTTGGAAATGTTATGAGCGTATGCATGTGTGTAAACTTGTATATATGAATGAGTATGTGTGTGTGTGTGTGTGTGTGAAGGATGATGTGTTGTAGTGTTGTGTTATGGGGGTAGAGGTTTTGTGAGTGGGGGAATTGGGGTGGAGAGTTGTGGGTGTGTGTAGTACCGGTATATGATGGACTTGGGTTGTATATATTGGTTGTTAGAAGTATGAATATGTCCTGTATGTGAGAAGAATGTGTTGTCTGTTTCAGTTCTGTTTGTTTTAAGTATAAATTAGGGGAAACTGTCTCCCATAACCCCTGCGGGTGGCTAATACAACAAAAAGCTTTTTATTTTATGTATTTTAACTATGTGTTGTATTGGGCAAGACTTAAATAAATAAATAATCTCTCTGTCTGTCTGTCTTCAAACATTTCAGTTTTCAAGCAAAGCAATTTTAAACAAAGAAATTAGTATTTCTAATGCTACACTTTCTTTAAAACTTGGTTTGCAAATCTGCCAACCCCCAAAAACCAAGATGTTAAACACACATAACACAAAGTATGGGACCAGTGTATTTTTATCACTGCAGACCAAGATGCTTGTAATCTCAAGAAACATCTTTTGTTCTCCAACTTCGAGCACAGCGATAATCCTTGCACGCATCACTTGCTGAGTTTTTACGAGTTGCCTTCTCGGTTCAAGCCGCGTGAACCTAGTCACTGCGCATACACTATGGGCGCAGCGCAGCACAGCACAGCTGTTGAAACCACTTTTCACCCCAGCGCTTGGTGAAATTAGTGAATCGTTTGAACTCTGATTTCGGGGTTTTTCATCGCGTTATTTTTCAACTTTATAAGTTGAATTTGCATTTTTGATAATTTGTTACTGTAAGTCCATACCGAAAGGGATCTGAATCTGCAAAGTTGTGTTTTGCGTTGCATGTGACCTTTAACAAACACTATGCAGTCATAACTAACTGAGACTGGAATGTAATATTAGTCATTTTTGTGAATAAATAGACATCTAAGATTGCTGAAACACGGTTTTCATGTGAACATATATATCTTTAGTCTCCATCTTTTTAGTACTTGTTGGCACACATAAGATAGTGAGCAGTTCTACTGGTGAGGAATTTAGATGAAGGCCTTCTTTGGCTTTACAGGCCAGCATCAAATGTAATACTGCAGAACTGAAGAACACAGATAGAAAATTATACTACAGTGGAAGCTGTCCAACCCGGCAAGTTGTCAACACCAGCACAAAATCTCAGTCCTGTTCGTGGCTCATACATTTATTGTCATTTAAGAGCTCTGCAATCAGGCAACTGTCAATTCCGGATCTCGGCATGAAATGAGCAACCCGAATATGTGTATACAGTAATGAGTGCTGTCTAGTCTGGAGCATGGCAAGGAGTCGGACGGATTTGTATTTTCACCAATTAACTGAAACTACATGGTTTGCCGACAAAGATAATTTATTCTTAGTTCAGTATGGGGGTTGTTAAAACAACACGTGCCATTTACCTGTCTGGCATAATGAACTGGCCCAAAGGGGAGATAACAGGTGGAGCATACAGTGTGAGATTAAGCGGCACAGAGTTTACAGATGAGAAGGGAATAAGATTGTGCTGTTGTTATTAGGGTTTTAGTAATTCATTTTAAATAACTGAGATGAACAACCGTTACTGGGAAATTTTCAAGGTACTAAAATTTCGATTTCTGAGACCCCCAGAGCTTTCGAGGTGATTTAAATTTCAAGGTTTTGGGACCTAAAATATCTAAATATTTTAGACAATTTTAATTTCGAGGTTAGAAGAAAGTGGCCAGAAACATCACTTACCGGACTAATACTCACTGAGCTATCGGCAAACTCCTAGTAGCCAGTGAAAACTGCCGTCTGACTGTTATAACTACGGGTATACCAGTCCATGGCAGCAATAATAGTAATGAAAACAAACGTTTGATCCTTTGTTGTGATAAATGACCCATGAAATACTCTGTCGGCAGAGCTCAAACATGACGCCATTTGTTGTTCTAGCTTCCTGATGTACTTAGTGAGTAGACAGATTTTGCAAATCATAATTATATCAGTTGTAATAGTGTTGGAGATAGTAAACTGAGATAAATAATTTGAGATGATTTGGGGTGTTAAAAAAGTAGTCAATTAGCAAAGCCATATCCAAAATTTCATATATCACAACACATTGGGGGTATAATGTTTCTTTCAAAAAGTATTTAATTTGAACTCTTGGTATCATGTATGAATAAGTGAAAACATGAGGATAAGTTATGTCCTTATAATTACGTCATCTGAAAGGGGGTGGGTAGTGTCTCCAAAACAAGGGGGGAATCACTTTAACAAGCGATTGTAGTTTCAAATTGCTTTTTTATGCACTTTAATATCTAAGTTTCATTCTGGAGGACCTACCTATCTCAAACACACAAAACAAAATGTTTCTGACATATTTTCCTGAAGTTTGTGATGCATTTATTGCAGATTTTGCGGTTTTGTTGGGGTACCAAGATAAAAAGTCAAACAAAATGGGGATCATGAGGCTGGAGCATAGCAAAACCAATTTGCTTGAGGTTGACAGATAACATGTAGAAAAATAAAACATAAAAAAACATTTTGTATGTTATGACATTATGATATTTAATGAAGTTAATTAAACCTCAAGTTCAATATTATTGAACTTTTGTTAAAATATTTTTGTTATCATCCATTAAAACCATTCTCTCAAAATGTTAGTTTGGTTATTGCTCATTAAAATCATTCTCTCAATTTCTAAGTGTTTGGGGCTGGTGTTTCTCTTTTTGCCTGCACGTACTGTTTTGGGATTAAAATTACTGGACCATACCAATCTTTACAACAATGGGGATTAACGCTATAGTCTGTAGTAGAAAAGCAAGTATGCCAGCACTTGCTGGTAAACAGTAAAGTTTATCACATTTTGTTTATTGCATATAGCAATAGCAAATATACAAATATGAGTTATTTGAAAATATGGTGACATTTTTAATTTTACTAATATTGCATGCAACATCATATGCATACACAATATTGCATGTATACAAATATACAAAAATGAATTGTCTGACAAATATGATGAAATTTAAATCAGCAAATACATAAATAAGCCTTAAATGTTACACCAGGAAATAAATACTTTTGTGCACTGTGCATTATACATAAATACATACAAGTGTATTGTTTGTTTCATATGACATAATAATCACATTCACAATCCAACCAGATTGTGCAGTTTTATAACCCCATGCCTCGATCATGTCATATTTGATTACTTTTAATGACTAAGCTGACAAAATCATTATGAACTGTGTTCAGTGTGGTCGGCTTGTGAGCTTGGTGGTCAGTGGGTACTGAACTCCACTTACTTGAACAGACTATAATTGTTCATTCACTGGACTGTTTATCCTAATCCGCTTATAGCCAATTAAAGTGCAGGCAAAAAGAGAATACACCGTATGAAATAGGTACCCGACAGGAGATTAGCAGTGCACTAGACCATGCACTTTGCTGTTATAAGTTCTAGGGGTTATTGGTTGAAGGGATTTGGGAGGTAACCAGTATGGGCTTATACTTGTACATGTAGTAAGTAAGTTGACATGTGTCACTCATGAGGGTTGTTACATATATGTCTTTTATTGTCAATGTGTGCAGTAATTGCGAGAACCACGTGATACAACAATATATATGAGAGTGACAAAACTGGTTCAGTTCCACTCCTAGATAACCATGTCAGCTCTACAATCCAGGAAGCTGTCTAAGCCAGATTATTTCTTCAGTCTCGAAAGGGCCAGTATAAACAGCTTCCACTGTACTTGGCTTTCTATCTGTTTCACTTTACAATTATTTAGAAAACAATCATAGTGATGTGTTGACATTTTTTAACTTCACATTGCTTTGAATATGTTGTGTAGAAGTTACCTTGGTCAATGTAAGATCAACATTCATGAGATTTTCTGAACAATTTAATATTTTCGGCTATGTCAAAAATATGCAGAGTGACATAAATAAGTTAGTACATATATTTCCTGATTATTTGTGTCATGCAGTCCGAGTTGGAACTAAGCAAGTTAAGAGTTGTCACATGTTTTACAAGTCATAGATCAAGCTTAGTTGACTATGTACTGGAAACAACAAACTGATTTCAATCTGTAATATATATCATTGATCAGTCCCCAACTGACTGGTCATCTGATCAGCAAAAAGTCAACAGCAACTGTTTTAGTAAAACTATAAATCAAACAAACACTGTTGAATGCAAATCTTTTTTGTCATTTTAGCTGATAAAAGCAAGTTTATAAGGTGTGTCATAAGTGTTAAAATGAAACTGCCAAAAATTAAGCTGTCATAATCATAATAATAATTATATTAAATAATAATAATTTCAACTATAAATTGTATAATTATAATACTTATCCTATCTCACATCTTGTACTCTCTCTCTTATGATCGACAGTTGAGTGGAAACGAACTGTAAACAAAGGTTTTGGCCTCTCTTCAACTATTCACCCGAACACACCCCTACTGCTCCCGTTCCTGGACAGCCTGGTAGCCTCTGAAAAGCATGCAGCATGTCCTCTTATTGATCATGTGATGCCTTTGTCTAGTCATTCTCGTCTTGGAGCAGTAGTTGTAATCTGTGCAGCAGGGTTGGTCGGGCTGGAATCCATCGTGTGTGATAGGATAAGTATTATACACAATTTAAAGTTAAAATTTTCAATTTTTTTAACTTATCCTATCTCACGTCTTGTACTTATCCCACAGTTGGATGGTGGACTGCAGATTGAGGACTGGGTCGTAATCGTCAAGGATGGCTGAACTGAGAGCAAAGAGTTCACTGATGTTGCTAGGATCGCCGAACATCTGGAGAGATCGCTCATTCATGAGAGATTGTCGAGTAACGAGGGATTGCACATCCTGGCTGGTTAAACGATTCTTGAGGGACGAAGTAGACGAAATCGCCAAATTTCTGGAGATGTCCGGAGGGATCATCGATCCTGCCCGAGGGTTTAGCGAGCAGTCAACGAGCACCACTCGCGATGAGACGCAGTAGCCGCGTCTAACACATTCATCGAGCGTAGGTCTAGAATCAGCAGATAGGTAGGTCGTAGAATCTGGACAATGACAGCTGAAGTCCAAGCCATAACAACCAAATTTGGCTGGTTCACAAATGGGGGATTTGCCGAAGTTGATGGAATCGCCACATGAGTCGAAGTCTGATGTCTGGTCACATCCAGAGGGATCACTGATGCATGAGGGATCGCTGAATTTAACTGGTTCGACAAATCTCAAGGGTTAGGTTGTGTGGTGTTCGGCGAACCACTGCAGGTGACAGCAGGATGAAATAGTCATATCCAATTCTTCCTTCGATCTCTTAGCTGAAGTAAAGCCAGGTTCTTCAATATAGTTAGCAAAGTTGTAGTCGTCTAACTTGGCACAAAGGCTGCACCTGACCTTCTTCTACTCTTCAAACGCAAAAGACCAATGCAGTCTATGCAGGATGTATGTAGGTTTGACTTGTAGGTCTTCTTGCAGTCCATGCAAACTTTTCTTTTCCTTGACATTGAATCTTCTGTACCCAAGATGTTAAAGGTTATATAAGTCAGTTTATTTGCCACAGTTTACAACACGTCAGCACCCTAGTGCAACAAGTGGGATTAAACTTTCTTAGTAAAGTACAAATTCTAGTACTTTTTGAGTTTAGCCCCATCCAGGATTCGAACTCACACCCTCAGAGTCAGGCACCTAATCGCCAGCACATAAAGTCAGCCGCCTAATCAAGATAATCAAGAAAGAGAAAGACAAAGGGATCACATGATCAATCAGAGGACATGCTGCATGCTTTTCAGAGGCTACCAGGCTGTCCAGGAATGGGAGCAGGAGGGTTTGTTTGGGCGAATGGCTGAAGAGAGGCCAAATACTTTACTTACAGTTCGTTTCCACTCAATTGTCGATCATAAGAGAGAGAGAATACAAGACGTGAGATAGGATAAGTTTTTTATAATTTCAATTCTTCCTTTTGGACCATTTTGAAAACATGTTACAACCAGACTCTCAAGTCCTCTACAATCTTTTTTATAAATATTAACTATAACATGAAAATGTATGGTCCTTTAGTTCGTGTCATGATTTTGAGATTGATTTGTGTCAAATATTTTGTACCATATGTTATATTTGGGATTACACTTTCTCCATAAAGTACAGATCCTAGAACTTTGTTTTTTTTAAGTCCCATCTAGGATTCGAACCTTAACTCTCAGACAGGCACCTAATCTCCAACACAAAAAGTCAGCAATCTAATCTACGGAGAGAGTGTAATCCCAAATAAAACATATGATACATTTGACCACTTTCTAAATGACACTGCATATTCATAATAAATATTTTGATGTTAAACAATGAACTGGTTGAACCTTCCCTTCTAACTTGGCAGTTTCCTTTTAGCCCTATCAAGGTACAAGGGTAGGTTGTAACCACACATTTCATTTCAAATTTGTTGGCCTTCTTTGGCCTGATGTAATGGTATCCACAGTTATCTACTGAACAGCACATTATGACAGATTCATAAAACTTGCTGCTGACTGACCTGAGTTTGACTGCAAGAGGCACAGTATATACAACAGCATTGATTTGGAAAACACAAATGAAGAAGATCCGGAAATGTTCAAACATCTCAGTGAAGAAATACCAGAACACTCCAATGTTGGGGCTGAGATCAGGGACAGTCAGGCTGAAACATGAAAACACTTTCAAATACTGCAGCTCATCTGCACAGCATTTAGAAGAACATCAAGCTGATGATAGAAGGTTCTTTCAACTCTCAAATGTGAAACTTACATGTGATGCAATATGTACCCAATCAGGTGGTTCTGTATGTGTTCTTGTGGGGATTCTGAGATAGAAAGTTTCCCAGTATAGGAATCTCTTTTGTCACTGTATACATTTGTGAACATGCAGTAAAACCATGTCAAGTAAAACTACAACCATCTCAAACACAAAAGTTACCTCTGTCATTTAATTTCAAACTGAATAGGTAGGTTTATGTATACATTTCTACTTGTGTCTTAAACCTTGTCACTGTGTTTGAGTTTTCTTGCTGTCACATTTGGCAACCGTGAGGGAATCTTAACATCATCACTTAGACCCCGTAGTTTGACATATTGCTTCATATGATACAGCATTAAGGTCTTTGCAGAATCATTTATTTGATATGGGCAAATCTGACAATGCAATTATACATTGCATTACCTGCAGGGATGATGGCACTGACTGACTGAACACATATTCCTTGGTCACTTCCATACTCCACTCAAACTTTCTGAGTGGCTTCATTCATTTATGTCAGAGATATGTATTTGAGAAGTTGGTGCATTAATGTAGGGAATGAGTAAACAGAGTCACAGTCTCACAAAATTCAGGTGTTAGGTCTTTCTACTGTTCAACAAAGATCTGAGGATATCCCATCACAGGGAATTTTGACCAACCAGTGAAACGGCTAACAAGAAGTCAACATCAACTAATCAGTCACTACATCAATTAGTATGGCAGCACTTCTCATGGGCAAGTACATACCATATTCCATTGAGCAAGCCATAGATTTGAGATTGCAGGAAAAGGAAACATTTCGACTAATACTTGCACAATATGCAGTTTGATTGATTGATCATTGCAATATTACCAATAAAGGTATGTTCCCAGATCTTTGTTTACCTGACTACTACAGCCTGATGTTAATGAGACTGAGTCACAATAAACCTGTCCTACAATTATACCAATAAACATTAAGCATGCAGCAAGTGTAAGACTGAGAATGAACTTCTACAAACTTCAGCAGTGGACATTTTTATAAACATATAACATGATAAATGGAAGTTTTCTACTACAATATATTGCACAATTTTCCCTTTGGATCAAACAAAAAAAAGATATCATATAGCCTATCACTGCTCTACCTCTTCTGCAAAGAAGTAGGGATACATGATCAAAACCACTGAGAACTCAACCTACATGAATCCATATGTTGAGTACAGGAAGTTCCAGGAATTTTCCAGGCCATATGAGATTCCTATCAGTAGCAAGATGAAAATGAGGAAGCAGGCACCAGTGTACAGATAACTGCCCACTGCTTCCGATGTATAACATGTGGCTTTCGGGTACGCTCTCTGGAAATAGTAGATAGTAGGTTGTCTGTTGTAATCACTTGTGTGGTATACACCTAACTAAATGTTTCTTCAATTTCTTGTTAAGCTTTACATCAACACTGCTAAATAAAGTGGATTTTCAATGTAGAGATATCTTACCTGTAGTTTTGATGGTGCTAAAATTGAACTTTTGAAACCTCATAATGCACTTTCATAAAGTTCAGTTCTACGTTAAGATTGGCACCTCTGCACAAAGTGTATTTATCTCCAAACAGACATCATCAATGTTTCATTTCAAAGGAACCAAGTCTTGAAAAACATTATCTTGAAATGTGTGGAATTCATTGTGAGACACATACTTTATAAAATATCAGTGCAACGGGCACAATGTACACAAAAGGGTAGAGAGACTGGTAGGCTGCCAATGCTAGGAACAGGGAACACAGGATCTCATTGCCTGAAAAACAACATTTGGACAGTTTCAGATATCACGAACAAAAACAGACTTAATATTATTGACAACTTTTGATTTCAATCAGGTTAAGCATTCTAGACAAATGTCAGCAGTGGGTATTCACTTTCAATCATAATCCATGAACAAATAAAGATATCGGAAACTACCTATGATCATGTTACAATGGAATGATGGAGAATAAGGCTCAGACTGATCTCAGTTAATGTTCCTGTACATGCCACAGCTCCTGAAATGTGAATATTTTGCTTGTCTCAGAACACAAAGGTTGTGTGCATTCCTGACAATGTAAGGACAGCCTACCTTGCAGTGCATTCAAGAGAGTGAGTACAGTTGCCAGGTTGGTGAACACTGCTGTTGACTTGGACAGACAAACTGCAATGCTGTAGGGGTTCATGAAATGCCTGAAAAATACAAACATTGAGTTTTCCCCCTATTTATCTACTTATCCAGACACAACAGTATGCAATATTCTTCCTTGCATTGATCAAATAACAGTGTAGAACAATGTAGAATTGTTCAACCCAACCCACCCTCCATCCACCTTTGTCCCAATATGATTCTGTGCTACTAATCATCTTTTCTGTAATCACCCATAGACAGGTGGCAAGCTGGCCCAAAACTGGGAAGGGATGGATGGGAAGGGAGTCACACATCCTGTTGTGTCAAGAGGACATAAATAAGGGAATATTCTAATTCATTAACTTATGTAAAGAAAGAAGTCAGGTGGTGGACTCCATCAAATCAAGACATCCCCGGGCGATGTCCAAGACAAAGTGACATCATAGAGGCCAATGACTTTGAAAGGCTGCAGTCCAGCATAGTCTTAAGTAGGTTTAGTGACAATCATGACAGTGTGCAGACTTACTGTTTGTTGTTTTCTAACTGATTCGGCTACCAACTTGAAAGATGAGATGTAACAGCATTCCAATGAAACTACTTTTGTGATCACTGACGATAAGTGCTTGATTTTATTGAGAACATGAAATACAAGAGGTCATTGTTATATATTGATGTCACATGCTGAGTGGTGTACCTAAGGAGTGAGTGAGTCAGTTTAGTTTTACGCCGCACTCAGCAATATCCAGCTACATGGCTGCGGTCTGTAAATAATCAAGTCTGGACCAGACAATCCAGTGATCAACAGCATGAGCATCGATCTACGCAATTGGGAACCGATGACATGTGTCAACAAAGTCAGCGATCCTGACCACCTGATCCCGTGGGTTACTGAAGATCAATTTTAACCCAGATCTGACACTAAGGAATCGGTACCTGAGAAAGGAAAAGTAAGCCATTTCATTGTCCTTGTTTGTAGATAGATGTAAAGCAGTTACTACATGCGGTATCACCAACCAAACTGTTGCATCAAAGTGTAAAAAGAAATGCATAGTTTAACAATTCAGCCATCATAGTGCTTCTCGTCCATGATAATCATATTTGAGTAAAACATGGGCCCATATCTGACTCTAAAACCAGCTTGTAAGTGATCCACAATTCAGTAATATTAACAAACACGTCTAATTATAACCGTCGTAAAGCAAAATGCTGCTGTTCATGAGTCACTCTCAAAATTCGTGCATATTTCATGTAGGTAAAAATTGTAAATTTTGTTTTCTTGTTTTACCTTGAAATGTTGTTGATTACGTTCATAGTATTCTGAATATGAAAAACATAAAGTATGCAAGCTTAACAACATTTCATTTTTCATATTTTACCCTTTTTATTAGAAATTTCACGAAATTGCATCACTGCCGTTACGAAATTTGTAACATGATTTTGAAAAGAAAAAAAATTCAAAGATGATATTCCTTTAATGTACATATATATATTAAAATATCTAGTTTTACAACATAACATGGCTAATGAGTTTTGCAATTTTATATTTATTGCTTAAAATGGGCCAACAACCCAAACAATTCCTTTCTTTTTTGATCTGCAAATATAAAGTAATATGTAGCAAAAAATATAAAATGAGAATATGAATCATATTTTGCTTACTTAAAGCTCTACTACCAAACATACTTGCACTAGAAATTCCAGACATAAACAGATAAATCAATTTTAATTAAATAAGGAAAATGATAGTGTTATGGCATCGACATGGGTATTATTGTTACGGTAGTAACACAATAACAGTAGTGACATTTTTATTCATAGCCAGTTTTGTATGTTAACTTTAAAAGATAATTTACTGAAATTTGTCAGTCAGGACTCAGATATTTCAGAATGTTTGAAGAATATGTAATAGGCAAAAGATTTACTTATGGATGTCCCTGTCATGTGAAAAACAGTGAGTGAGTGAGTGAGTGAGTTTTGGTTTTACGCCGCTTTTAGCAATATTCCTGCAATATCACGGCAGGGGAGACCTGAAATGGGCTTCACACATTGTACCCATGTGGGGAATCGAACCCAGGTCTTCAGCGTTATGAGCGAACACTTTAAAGGTCACATGCAACCAAAAATCAAACATAATTAAAACACAATTATCACTTATTCATGACATATAATATACATTGCTGATTATGAAAAAACATATAAACAACAAAATTATAAGCGTACAATCGCAAATCAAAAGTGCAATATTTTGTACTTGGGTTTACTACACTCGAAACGAAGCACCCGGGATACCGAACCCAGTCAGAGCGGGTAGGTGTGCACTCAAGTGTAACAAGGTCTATCATTGGCTGGTTCATTTGCCGATGCCCTCACGGCTCATTGTGTGTGTGTGTGTATATAGAGATGTTGGGTTTTGTAAATACAGGCTCAGTTTTTGTGTATAACATTTTGCAATCAACAGACATCATAACAGGTCATATGTACAAGTATCACACCTGCCTGTCTCTGTAATTACATTATGTGACAGAGACCAAACTCGGACCATAAATCAATGCGTTTCGTTTATGATGTATAGCCTGATAGGTGTTAAGTTCAAATTGCATGTGGTCAGTGATCGAGTTGTGTATTGAATATTGTCATTAGCAGACAGGCAGGCAGACACATTGGTGTCTGTGACAACGACACATATCTATATCACAGTTAGAAATTCTGTCAACACTAAATAATGACATTGCTTTTAAGTACAGCACTGACAAAGTGACTCGGTAAGAAGAACGTGTGGTGAAATAGACAAATGAAATTATATAAACAGTTAAATTGGTAATCAGTTTCATAACACATAAAAAGCTCGCTAAAACATCAACAAAACATTAGAAGAACAGCTCACATCAAAGCCTTCACTGAGTATTCACCGCCAGCGAAGGTTTTCCGTCTTGAAATGTCGAATGCCTCACTGGTTGACACATAGCTCAGTAGATCTAGATCCTAACACGGTTCTTTTATGTAATGAATAGATTTTGGAAATTTTAACTATAAATTGTATATTTATATACTTATCCTATCTCACGACTTGCACCTCTCTCTCTTCATTCGACCATGAGTGGAAACAAATTAAACTTTGCTCCAGGCCTTCCTTGTCCCTGTCCCCGTGCTGTGCATGCCTTCCTGCCTTAGCCATGCTCACTAGGCCATGACAGCACGTGGCATGCGCAATCCTCACCCACGTGATCACCTTCCATACTCATTCTCGATCTTGGAGCCATAAAAGGACAAAACCGGAACGGTGGTAATCTAAGTAGTGGGGAGGTAGGGTGGGACTTTATCAGCGTGAGATAGGATAAGTATATAAATATACAATTTATAGTTACAATTTCCAAATCTTTAAACTTATCCTATCTCACGACTTGCACTTATCCCACGGTAGGAAGGTGGGTCATAGATTACCCAAAGTTCAAGCGATAACAGCTAAGCGTTATGCCAAAACAACCGTAGGAAGCAACTACAAGGCAGGCCAATAACTACCAAAGTTACTACGTGTGAGGGTTAGTGCGAACCCATTGACTTACTAAGCACAAGTGCTCCCAGGGACCGGGATTCCCAAGCAATGTGGTGTTCAGTCACTACCTTCACAAAGTGAAAGGACGCAGCTTAGCGAGTGTAATCAGTCGCATCGCCACGATTTCCAAGGTACCCCCGTAATAAAAGTCTAACGACTAGTATCGGGCCAGCCCCTGCTTCGAAACAACCCCAACAGACACTGTCCCGAGGAGGGTGAAAGGGTAATTGAATCGGAAAAACTCACAATTTTAACGTTCAGTACCACAACATCATCTTATGACTTTCACTACTTACCACAGTAAGATCACATAGATGTGTATAGGTACGTAGGAGCTTGAACGCTACAAAGTGTAACACTTCGGTAATGACTCACTTCACTGACGTAATTACTCCGTGGAGCAGAGGACAGTAAGTGAGGTGGCGACCCTCCAGCGTCTCAAAAGCGAGACATGCGATGGTTAGTTCGAACCCATTGACTTACTAAGCACAAGTGCTCCAGGGACCGGGATTCCCGAGCAATGTGGTGTTCAGTCACTACCTTCACGAAAGTGAAAGGACGCAGCTTAGCGAGTGTAATCAGTCGCATTACCACGATTTCCAAGGTCTGACAACTGGTATCGGGCCAGCCCCTGCTTTGAAACAACCCCCACAGACACCGTCCCGTGGAGGGTGAAAGGGTAATTGAATCGGAAAACTCACAAGTCCCAGAAGAATCGAAGACACAAATCAGAAATAAAATTCAGAATTTTATTCAGATTGTACACAAAGCAGAAACGATCGCAACTGGTGATCATCTGCGCTGAAGCTGATGGTTGTCCCGAAGTGCCGAACAGGTCTACATCTGGTCGTGATAACAGGTAGATCTTTGATTGGAAGATCAGAGGCAGTTGTTTCCACTCCGTGAGTGACAGGGCATCGGCAATGACATTCCTCATCCTGGGAATGTGTCGGGCTCTGGCCACTGTGTGGAGTGAATCGATCAGATGATAAATTCGAAACATCAACTGAAGCAGAGCTGCTGATCCTGTCGACCCCTGATGGTTTATGTACAAAATTACCATCGAAATGTCTGATTGAATCAGTATATGAGTGAACCGTAGTTCAACTGCCCAATGCCGAAACGGCGATAATGACAGTGCTGAATTCCAATTCGTTGTGATGAAGGGCCCTTTCTCCTGATGACCACTTCTAGGCCACTTGATGGAGAAAGTGAGCGCCCCAGCTTGAAAAATGTGTCAACGAACAGGTGTTGAGTCGGTATGAAGGGCACCATAGAGACTCCAACACAAACATTCCACTTGTTGAGCCACCAACGAAAGACTGAATGTAGTTGTGCGGGAAGACGAATCAACTCCCTGGGGTTGTCGTCCCCGATGTATGGGCACAGAAACATCTGAAGAGGGCGAAGCTGCAGCTGGCCCCTGTAAGTCAGCGCTTGTGCCGACGTCAACCACCCTAGTAACTTCTGCCACTGGCGAAAAGGTGTGGGTTGGACCAGCACTAGTGG